AAAAAAGAAAAAAAGAAAAAGAACAAATTTTCCTTTGGACCCATGAATTTTTTAGAAATATATTTAGTTTCCACATGTATAGAGGTTTTTCTGTTGTCTTTCTGTTGTTGATTTCCAGTTTAATTGATTCTGTTGTGGTCAAAGAACCTATTGTAGTTTTGGATCTTTTAAATTTGTTGATGTTCATCCATCACTTTTGCTTTCCTTATCATCCATCCTTTAGATTCTGATTCTGCCTTCTATATATGCCTTAAATTCCCTGCTTTGTCTGTCTGGGTTCACGCTCACGTAACTTCTCACATGAATTATTTTAGTAGTCTCTTAACTTGTCTTTCTGCCTCCAGCGCTGATACTGTCAGTTTATCTTCCCCAGTGCTGTAAACGATCTTGCAGAAATGCAGATCTGACATTGTTACTTTCCTCTTTAAGAGGCCTTTCCTGACTTCTAGTCATCTACAGTGCAAAGCCAAACACTGTAGCATGAGGTATTGTTTGTACACGGACCTGCTTCTTCTCAAGTGTAAGCTAAGCTGCTTGTTTGTATGGATGGTGGATAATGTTTTGTGCTTCTGTTTCTTTGCTCATATTCTCCAGTAAAGCATTTTGCTTTTTCCAGCATCTGTTTTGGTCCCAATTCATTTTTTCCTGATGCGTTCCTTGTAATCCTTCTTTCCTTGTTTTAACTCCTATTTATAACTTCTCCTTAAGTATCCCCTCTTTTGTGATTCCTTTAGCAATAAGTGATCATTTCTACCTTTGAGCCATCTCTAAATACTTAAGTGTGACTTCCTATGTACTTGTCATGTTGTCATTGTGTATTGGAACATAATGGTTTTTAAGATTGCTGACTCTGGAGCCAGAAACCAGGCTTCAGATTCCAGCTTCAAAACTTACTAGTGGTATAACCTTGGGTAAGTTATTTGACCTTTTGCATCTCAGTTTTCTTATCTGTAAAATGGGAATAACAGTAGTACCTTATGCTTTCATCAGTTTATTTCAGGAATTAAATGAATTTCTTAGGCTAAGTATCCCTTATCCAAAAGTGTTTCACATTTCGGACTAGAGGTGTTTCATGTTGCAGATTTTGGAATGTTTGCATTATATACTTACTGGTTGACTATTCCAAATTTGAAAATCTGAAATCTGAAATGCTCCAATAAGCAGTTCCTTTGAGTGTCATGTCAGCACTTAGAAAGTTTCAGATTTGGGAGCACTTTAGGTTCTGGATTTTTGGATTTGGGGTGCTCAACGTGTACATGTAAAGTTCTTGAACTAGTGTCTGGCACAGAGTAAGTGTTCAGTAGGCCCTAGCTGTCATTGTCAATGTCATAACCCTTTTCTTCCTATTTATTGTGATTATGACTGCTTAAACATCTACGTGTGATGTTTGAGCAGGAGCTTTGCACCTTAAGCAGTAGTACATCAGAAATGCTAAGTTAATGTTTTAGTGAGTGAATCTAAACTCATCCCTTGCTTTTATTTGGGAAACTGAGGCTCAGATAAAATAAGTGAAATGTGACTTGCTCACATAAGCCAGTGGGACCCAGGTTTTGAGAGTCTCAATTTGGGATTCTTTCCACCACACCTGTAACATGCTATTTAGCCTTTTGTTTCCCTTCCTCTTGTCTCTAATTGCTTGTGTCTTTTTGTCCAAATTAAAATAGAAAAATATTTTAAAACAACGTTATATTCAAAATGAATAAAAGTAGATACGTTGTTGACTTGTAGAGAGTTTCCAAGGAGCTTACATCTGATTAGAACTTTGTCTTCAGTGCTTCTTAGTATCATTAACTTAAAACAATTACATGGGAAGTGGGAATTGCTGGTGTAACTCAAAATGTAAGAATCTTTTTTTAGACTGATTTGATTAGTCAGCAGAGGGTGCTCTAAGATTGCATTTTATGGGGTGTGAAGTGTCTTGTTATCGCAACTTACATGTTCACAATTAATATTTGTTATTTTTATATTCTAATAATTTTAAGAGAACAGTTCTTGGTTCTTTTAAAGAATAATTCATTAGTAAATCCAAATTTTGGTTTAGATCTTAGGCCTTCAGTTACAAAATTTAAAAAAAGCTTCTCATTTTGTCAGCTACAAAAAAATATATGTCAGGTGAGTGGATTGCCTGAGCCTGGGAATTCGAGACCTGCCTGGGCAACTTGGCGAGACCTCATCTCTACAATAAATAAAAAAATTAGCCAGGCGTGGTAGCGCACGCCTGTAGTTCCAGCTACTTGGAAGGCTGAGGCGGAAGGATTGCCGGAGCCCAGCAGGTCGAGGCTGCGGTGGCTGGAAGTGTGTCACTGCACTCCAGTAGGGGCGACAGAGTGAGACTCCAACTCAAAAAAAAATTTATATATATATATATGTCTAATGGGAAATTTTATTTTGTGTAATTGACTTATTTTCAAGATGGGTTATGAAGGAAGTTGAACTACTTCTTGAACTGGAAAAAATAAATACAGTTATATACAGCATAATGCCATTTTGGTCAGTGATGAACTGTACTTGGGATGGCAGTCCCAGAAGACTATAACTCTGTGTTTTTGCTATGCTCTTTTTATGTTTAGATACACACATATTTAACCATTTCATTACAATTGGCTGGAGCATTCAGTACAGTAACAACAGGTTTGTAGCCTAGGAACAAGAGGCTATACTGCATGTCCTAGCTGAGTAGTAGGCTCTACCATCTAGGTTTGTGTAAATACGTTCTGGGATGTCCCAACAATGAATGAAATCACCTAACAACGCATTTCTCAGAACATATCCCTGTCGTTAAGCAACACATGGCTGTATTGATGTTGATCTTAAACAAAGACATAATAGAGTGACTCAGAATTTAATACTGTAACTGATTTCAAAGTAAATTCTAGCAAAATGCTTCAGTGAAAACTTGTGTAGAATTTTTCTTTAAAAATAACATTTTTATTGTAAATATTGGGCAGAGTCTTCTCTCGTTTCCAGTCCTTCTTAAGGTTGTAAATTTCTGGAATTTTATAAATTATTTTGTAAACTAGATGTTTGAAATGTGGTTTACATAGCATTTTATACCTCTGGTATCCCTTGACTATTTTTGTACTTTTTCATAAATAAGAATAGGTCTAGAAGACTGTGAAATACATTGCTATTCTACATTTGAGTTTGTCCTACATATAGAATAAGGCAATCTTGATTGTAATCATCAAACTACTTTGGTTTGCATTTGTAATTATACACTTTTTTATTCTTGTGAAATATAATCCAATTTCCAGTGAATCACTAATGTAGCAAATTTCCGGAAGAGAGTCTTTTTTTTCCCCCCAGTGAAATGTACTTGAGCTGTAGTTCTCCAGTATGGGAAAAGTCCTTTCAGTGCTGATTTTAGAGTACTCATACTGGTTTGCTATCTGGATGAAGTTGCTCACACTAGAATGATCTCCCTTCTGAGAATATTCATTATTGTTACACCATTGCCAATATGACAGAGTGTGAGTGTGTGTGCGTGCGTGTGTGTGTAGTACTGAAAGGATAAAAAGAAAGAAAAAACTTAAGCAAAGAAATATTAAAATGTATTCACTTTGAGAATAAATCTGGAAAGGATATAAAGAAGAGAAAGAAAAAGAATGAAATGTAAAAATACCTGGCTGGGCTTAGGGGCTCAGCCTGTAATCCCAGCACTTTGGGAGGCCGAGGAGAGTAGATTGCCTGAGCCCACGAGTTCGAGACCAGCGCGGGCAACTTGGCAAGACCTCGTCTCAACAATAAAAATTAGCCAGGCGTGGTAACATACACCTGTAGTTCTGGCTACTTGGAAGGCTGAGGCAGAAGGATCACGGGATCCCAGCAGGTGGATGCTAGGGTGGCTGTGAGTGTGCCACTGTACTCCATCCTGGGCGACAGAGTGAGACTCCAACTCAAAAAAAAAAAAAAAAAATAGAACTAACACTAAATATTTTGGTGCAAAATATTTATAGGGCGATGGATTGAGAGTTTAGTGAGCTACATCCTCTTCTGTACCCAGAAGATGCAGTTTTGGATACAATCGGCCTTCTGTATCCATGGGTTCTGTATCCATGGATTCAACCAACCACAGATGGAAGACATCCATAAAATGAAAAAAACCAATAAATAATAATAATAATACAATATTAAAAAATAATATTTAAAACTATTCTGGTTGGAATTATTAGAATATATAGATATTTTAATGTTCAAATATTTAAAAATAATATTGTAAGATATTACTTTTAAATAAAATAAAAAATAGTAAATACAAATATTTTGTAAAATATAGTACAAATTTAAAAATCCAATATGGTATAATAGCTATTTGCATAGCACTTAGATTGTATTAGGTATTATAAGTAAACTAGTGATATTTTAAAGTATGTAGAAGGTTGTACACAAGTTATATGCAAATACTAAGCCATTTTATATAAATGACTTACACTTCTGGGGATTTTGGTATCCAAGGGTACCAGTCCCCACAGATACCAAGGGACAACTGTATTCCTTTTTCCCCCCCCCCACACCTTTTGTTTTAATAAATAAAGCATATTCATGGCTTAGATCTCAAATCACATTTACAGACAAGGAAAACTTCTAGGTGCAAATACATCACAGTGAAGCTACTACAACTGGAAGGAAGCATATGCAACATGCCTTCTACCCCTAGGAGCAGAGACTTCAGGGTGGAGAGCACCACGTACACCACTCTAGACTAGGTCATGGGAGAAGGGCAGGAGATGCAGTGAAGTTCATGCAACCACCATGGTCCCCTCACCTGATGCTGCAGAACCCTTGGATGCTGGTACATGAGATGACCTAAGGGTGGAGTCATGAGCAAAAGGGGTGAAACTCTCCCACTGTTAATGGTCAGGACAAGGGCATTAGTGACAGAAGGGCATGCACTGAGAAATACAGAGCAATACTGAAGAACGGAGAGAAGGTGGCACACGTTCTGGTTTCTTCACATGGTAGAAGCTTCCCCAGCACAGCAGACAAGCAAGGGTCGAACGCCACCTCCCGAAGGCTTAGTCCAGAAACTTTCTGTTGGCATTGGCACCAAACAAGCCTCCCCGCACTTCCAGCATCATCTGCTGGTCTATGAGGTCCAGACGGCTTTCCAGGATGTTGGACACCTTGAATTTACAGTTCCCGTTATAGATCTTCACTCCACCAGCTGTGTCCTCGGGCAGGTAGGACCCATGGTCAATCTGGACATCAACATCATTCTTGGTGGCGATTGTGTACGTGGGGATCACCTTCTGTACTGCAGCCTTTACTAGAGGGAAATCTTGTTGCCTGCAGCGAATGATCATCCGGGGCTCCAACAATTGGTACAAACCATTAAGGACCAGTCCATCCAGCAGCACTTGGTACCTGGTTGTATCTTTCACCACCTTGCCGAGTCTCTGTTTTGCTTCATTTAGTAAGTCTGAGATAAGGTCATCTCTCGCTCTCAGGACTTTGAGCCTTGCTTGATTCATCAAATTAGACATCTGAATTTTCTTCTGCTTGTCTTTCTTCTCGTAGTATTCTCATAATCTTTAGTCTTTGGGTTTGCACGAGCCGACCTTTCTTGATGCTGAACTTTTCTTCTGCCTTTGCGTCTATTTCTTCTGCTTTCTCATTGACTTCTTGTTCAATGAAAGCCATCATATGCTTAATCTGCTTTTGCACATCCGCATTGCTGAGGGCCGTGGTGGAAGCAATGCAAGGCCTGTGGGCAATGGTCTGGAGTTTAGGTTTGAAGAGGGCAGTGGAAGGAACCGGGATTGACAACTGTATTCTAGTTCTTACCTCACACCACTTCCTTTTCTATGAAGTTTAGGTTAGATGGCTGAGAGTAGTAACATAACATCTAAACGACTACATTATGGTTCACTTAGCTATGGCTTGTGTGGTTTCTGTGTTGTGGGTTAGGAGCCACCTATATAGAATATCTGTTTAGGGGAGCTGTGTAGACTAATACTTTAAAAATCCTTGATATATGTTAGATTATAGTGTCAGAGAAACTCAGTACCTTTCATTTTGCCAGTTCTGTTTTCTTTCACATATTTTCTTGAATATTAATAGATTAATCAGAAATAAGCAATCTGGGAACCAATTCAGATCGCGTATTTGTTTGGAATTAATATCCTTGTATCAAAATAATTCTAACATAAACGTGCATTGAACCATGTGTGAATTGTAGAATTTGACAATAGAAATAAGTAATGATTATTTTATTACTAAGTTTTTCTGGTTCAGTTTTATTTTTAAAGATCATTACAGGATAATTATATTATTTGGAATGTTTTTATGTTAATACTTTATTTATGTTTAAATATATTTTTAAGGAACCATATGTTTAAATTTCTCTCCTAATGCTTAGTGTACTAGGAAAAAGAATCATCATCATTTACCACTTGGGATCAATGAGCTTTTTAAAAAAACAAATATATATATATCTTAAGTCACTGTATAACTTAGAGAAGTTAGAATGAAGCAACAGCGTATAACAACTTATTAGAAATTTTAATAAGCATTTAAATGTAGCAAATTCAAATTTTCTTTTCATATTTTCCTACAAAAGTACCTAAAATGGGCAACAACCTCTGAATGCAACTACCCTGCTTATCAATTACCAATTGTCATGCATTCAAATAACCCTCCTATTTGGTTCTAGCTTATTATTCTGACTTTTCTTTCTTTTTTGAGTTAGTCTTACTCTTTGTGGGATGGCTGGCATGCAGCGGCACGCTCATGGCCACCGCAGCCTTGATCTGCTGGGCTTAAGTGATTCTTCCGCCTCATCCTTCCAAGTAGCCGGAACTACAGACGCACGCCACCACGCTCAGCTAGTTTTTGTGATTAATTGTAGAGACGAGGTCTCCCAGGTTGCCCAGGCTGGTCGGTCTCAAACTCCTGGGCTCAGGCAGTCCTCTCGCCTCAGCCTCCCAAAATGCTGGGATTACAGACTGAACCACGGACTTCTGGCTTTTCTTACACCTAACAGTCATACTTGAAGAAAGTTTTGAAACCTTTGAAAGCTCATGATTTTTTATAATTTTTTTTTACATTAGTAAACACCAATTAGCATAATAAATCCAATACTTTTTTTCATTTCTACATTATCTAATTCCTTCTGATCATCTTTGTATACCTGCCTTTGGCATTTGCCCACTACCAAGTAATTTTGGTGTGCAAATGGCATAAAAGAAGGAATATTGTCACATAGTTCTAGTAAGAGGAATGGTCCAGGTTTTTGTCATGAAATATAGTGTGATCAAATTTTTCTGCTGAAAGACGAAGCTGATAAGAGTACCACGTGTTCCTTTTGTCCTTAGAAATATATTGTTCTTCTGTTAGTTCTTGAGTTCTATAAAATGTACCCAGAGTATCATCTAAAAACTCATAGTCTCAGGTTTCACTTACATAATCAGTTTTACTATTGTCATTAAAATCTAGTATACAGTTCTGTCTCTTTGCATTCATCCTGGTTTGTGTGATAATTGTGACCTGTCAGTTTTTTTTCTCCTTACCATTGTAGGTGAAAATGAGAAACTTAGACTTTTCAATGTTAATGATGGGTCTGCATTCTTATTTTACACTTTCTTTTTTTTTTTTTTGAGTTGGAGTCTCAGTCCGTCACCCAGACTGGAGTGCAGTGGCCGCTCCTGGCCACTGCAACCTCGACCTGCTAGGCTCCGGTGATCCTTCCGCCTCAGCCTTCCAAGTAGCTGGAACTACAGGCGCGCGCTACCACACTCGGCTAATTTTTTTGATTTATTGTAGAGATGAGGTCTCGCCAAGTTGCCCAGGCAGGTCTCGAATCCTCAGGCTCAGGCAAGCCACTCACCTCGGCCTCCCAAGGCGCGAGATTACAGGCTGAGCCACCAAGCCCGGCTATTTTACACTTTCTTGAAGGATGTTGCAATACTTTGGCAACACAGCAAGAATATGAAAGAAGGGTGCTTTCTTGTATCATACTTCTAGGCATTTATTATTCTTTTTTTGCTTCTATAAGAGTCCGTTTATTTAGTTTCCATACATGAATGAAGAAATGTGGTATTTGTCTTTCTGTGCCTGGTTTATTTCACTTAACGCAGTGCCCTCCAATCTCATCCATGTTCCTGTGAGTGACAAGATTTCATTCTTTTGGTTGCTAAATAGTATTCCTGTGTGTGTGTGTGTGTGTGTGTGTGTGTGTGTGTGTGTGTATGATGGACACTTAGGTTGATTCCATATCTTAACTATTGTGAATAATGCTGTAGTAAATGTGGGAATTGCAGATATCTCTTTGACATACTGATTTCCCTTCCTTTGGATGTATACCCAGTCGTGGTATTGCTGGATCAGGCATTTGTTATTCTTTCAGATTCTTACTATTTTAGTCTTTTTTTAGTATAATTACAAGTTATTGATGAGTAATGATGAAATAATTCCTAGAATGATGAGATAGCAAGTTGTTTCAAGATACATGATCTTACTGTTCTGTTTTTAAAAGACGTATGGTACAAGTCAGAATTGGTTACAAAAGTGATCCTCGTACAGGTGAAATTTGGGCCTTCCATTGGACCTCACTTCACGTGGATTGGGATCATGTACCCTTATTGATATTGTGTCCCCCCCCCACCCCAGTGTCCTGCTACAGTCAATCACTTTTGTGTAGTAATATGATAGGTGTTCAGGGTCTGCTTTTGAGTGAGAACATGTGGTACTCAGCTATTTGTTCCTGTGATAGATCACTGAGTGTGATAGACTTTCAGTCCATCCAAGTTGCTTCAAAGTCTATAGTTTTGTCCTTCTTTATGACTGAATAATATTCCATCACATATATGTACCACATTTTTTTTTTTTATCCAGTCCTGTTTCGATGGGCAGCATGGTTGGTTCCATGTTTTTGCTATCGTGAATAGTGCTGCAGTAAACATGCATGTGCGGGTATCTTTTTTGTAGAATGATTTGAGTTCTTCTGGTATATTCCCCAAAGGGGGATAGATCTTACTGTTACTGGATCCTGTAACATAGCTGAGATTTGTAAAAGTTCAGTGGCTCAATATAGCAATGACTAATTTGTCTTCTTTTTTTTAAGTGAGTTTTTTTTCTGTTCTTTGGAACACCTTTAAGAATGGGTATGAAGTAACCACTGGGCATGGTAGCTCACGCCTGTAATCCCAGCATTTTGGGAGGTGGAGGTGAGAGAATTGGCCTGAGCCCACTGGTTTGAGACCAGCCTGGGCTACATGGTGAGACCTTGTCTCAACAGTAAATCATAAAATAACCGGGTGTGGTGGTGCATGCCTGTAGTTCTAGCTACTTGGAAGGATCACCTGAGCCCAGCAGGTCGAGGCAGCGGTGGCCATGAGCATGCCACCGCAGTCAAGTCTGGGCAACAGAGTGAGACTTTGACTCAAAAAAAAAAGTCATGAAGTATCAATCATTAAAATAGTTAGAACTGCTCATAAAGAAACTCAGAACCTAAAATTGTATCCATTAAACCAATAACCGATTCGTCTGAGGGCTAAACAGCTTGTGGATCTTTATTGATTTATGTATTCGGCAGCTATTTGTTATCTGCTTTATTCCAGATTCTGTGTGCTTGCAATTTTCTTATTTTTTTCATATTGAAAGTAAAAAAATTGATGATTGAGTCTTATGTTTAACTTATCTTCTGATCCAGATATTTTAAAAGCTGTTTGATTTTTATGTGACATTATAGTTTGCTTTAAAATACTGTATTTGGTTTAACTTTTGAATTTGTTTACAATTCCATTTGTGAATGGCAGGAATTGTGTGACACTGGGTTGCTAATCAGTTTGTGTAATCTCAGGTGAATCTTATCTTCCAGATCACCTACTTAATTTGCTTAGAGGGATTTTGTATAATTGTATATGCTATGCTGTGTAGAATTTGGAAAGCAGTATGCTGTCACTTTTGAAAGGTTGTCTTTTTTTTATTATTGCCAAGTAAGTGAAACCTCACTAAGTACTCACATTCATCTTTAATCTAGTTGCAGATACCGAAGAGAAACGTTCTAAAAAATATCTTGAAGACTTTGAAAAAATTGCTTTTGTAAAAGTACAAGACATTTTTTAGAGCTTGTATAGTGTTAATACTTCAGAGAGAAGGATCAGAATGCTATAGAACCTATAGCTTATCTATAGTGCAATATATATATCTTCAATTTTAGTTTTTGGTGGAGGCCAGAGTTTTTTCTGGTTCTAAAATTTTCTTCAGTATTCTAGTTAAGAAGGATTAATATACTGACTTGCAGTTAAAGAGAAATTTAAAGGTTATTATTAAGAGTTAGAACACATATAAGACTAAAACTACCCCACTATTTTTTTTTAATTTTTTTTTTTTGAGTCAGAGTCTTACTCTGTCACCCAGGCTAGAGTGCAGTGGTATGATCATGGCAACCGCAGTCTGGATCTGTTTGGCTCAGGCGATCCTTCTGCCTCAGCCTTCTAAGTAGCTGGAACTATAGGCGTACACCACCACGCTCAGCTAATTTTTTGATTTATTGTAGAGACAAGGTCTCGCCAAGTTGCCTAGGCTAGTCTCGAACCCATGGGCTCAGGCAATCCTCTTTCCTCCGCCTTCCAAAGTGCTAGGATTACAGACGTGAGCCACCGTGTCCGGCCCCTACTGTTTTATTTTTTATCAACAGGACTTGCATCCTAAATTCATTCTAAATAAATACATGATTTCTAGAAACTGATGACTTTGCCATAATTATATTATGTAGAAAGAACTAAGCAAGTGTAAATAATATTAACTAATACTTAAATCTTGGTTAGAGTTACTCATTTTGAGAGAAATTTGATATATTTTCAAATTTTGCAGCCCTTAAATCCAAGAGTAACTCACTAATAGATTATACAGATAACAACAGGACTGTATATAATACCAGCTCGTCCTCTTTTTCCTTTTGTCAGGAGTACAGACTGAGCATCCCAAATCTCACAATCTAAAATCGGAAATGCTACAAAATCCAAAACTTTTTGAGTCCTGACATGATACTGAAAGAAAGTGCTCTTTGGAGTGTTTGAGATTTCTGGAGCTAAGATGCTTAAATGGTAAAGTATATAATGCAACTATTCCAAAATTTAAAAAAAAAAAAAATCCAAAATCTGAAACACTTCAGTCTGAAGCATTTTCGGTAAGGCATTCTCACTCTATATTATTTCATCATTACTCACTAATTAAGCTGACTCACTTTACATTCTTTAAAGGGATAACTGAAAAAAATAAGCCTTGTCCTTTGAAATCTGCAAGGTCTGTATTAGTCATATTTGCTTATTGCTAATTAATTTACCTCACTATGAGGAATGGTTACATTCAGAAATGTTCTTGTTTAGGAACCTATTTTGTAAATAACATTTAGAATTAGGTTTCAGAAGAATATTCAATGGCAGAAGAATATGCACTATTGACATTATATTATTTGAAAAAAGCGGGTTATCGTACAGTTTGTAAAGGTTATTCCTAATCTATATTTAGATATATATGCATAGATAAAAGACTGGCAGTTTATACACCCTGATGTTAATAGTAATAACCACAGAACAAGTGATTTGCATGCTTTATAGATGCTCATCTTAGCTCTTATGATTTTCTAAAAATTTAAATGTGTTAAAATCATAAGCTTATTTAAATAATTTTTTAAATAAACTTGGTTACCCTTTATGAAACTGGGATGATTAGATACGGTGGTACTGTGGCATGACAGTGCACATGGCTGATAAAGAATACCTTCACACATGGTCCCGTTGTACATAGTGAGGCTTTTGTGGGAGTGAGTTGACAGGAAGGAACCATCTGGTGCCTGGAAAGGAGATCATATTAGCCCAGGCACGTAACTAAAAAAGTTACCTCCTTGTGGTTTGTGATTAAAGCTCTTAACATTTGGTGTTCAAACATGTGTCGGGAATTTGTTTTGGAGTTGTAGTTATAACCTGACATATTTACTTTCTCTTAAAATATCCTCTTTCATTTCCAGGCATTATCCAATTGGTTTACTATTTGACCTCCTTGCATCAAATTCAGCTCTTCCTTGGAACATCATAGTCCATTTTAAGGTATAGTTTAAACAGCATTTCCCATTTGTCCCTCTTGTGACACTTCATAAATAGACGCAGAGTATAATTTTTAAAGTGAAGTTACTTATTGCTTTTTCCATGACACTTTTTAGGTTGTGAAGCTTCAATTAGTGTTTATCTATAAAACGCTTTTCAATTTCTTCCTAACTTTTGGCAGAAACATTTAAACTTGCCATGTATAAATGCCTCTTCTTTATTAGAACTGAATACACCGTTTGAAATTTCTAATAGTTTTGAAAGTTTCTGCTAATTTTAGAAGTCAGATAGAAAGAACAAAAATCCTGGTGTAGATGTGGGCATGGAAGTAGACAGGATATGACCTAATACAGTTCAGTAATTCTGAGGCTGTTTTGCTGAATTAAGAGAAAGGTTAGGAGATGGTAGTCCAAGGATTTGGTCTACCTCTGTTTTGAGAAATGTTCATTCCTGTAGTTTTTAAGACCAGGCTAAATTTAGTGTGACGAATTTGTTTCAATATATGATAAAGTGCTGGTCCTTTGTTCTCCCAAGCACCTTGCTTCTGTTCTGCCCCTGCCCCTAGTTCACAAGCAACCGTTGACTAACAGTAATTCTGAAATGGCAGCGGCTGATGGGCAGGAGGCATGTGGAGTTGAAAGTCATTCAGTGTCTCAGTTTCTCTCCCATTATGGATACCCATTCAGAATTACTGTCCAAAGAGTGCACTTTATTCTTCTTTTTGTTTGTTTGTTTTTGAGTTGGAGTCTCACTCTGTTACCCAGGCTAAAGCGCAGTGGCATGCTCATGGCCACCACAGCCTTGACCCGCTGGGCTCAGGTGATCCTTCTGCCTCAGCCTTCCAAGTAGCTGGAACCACATGTGCACACCACCACACCCGGATAATATTTTGATTTATTGTAGAGATGAGATCTCACCAAGTTGCCCAGGCTGATCTCAAAACCCTGGGCTTAAGCAATCCTCTCGTCTCTGCCTCTTGAGTTGCTGGGATTATAGGCTTGAGCTACTGCACTGGTGTCATTTATTCTTTAGATGACGCTTCCTCTACCTGTTTTACTGAATTTTAGTTTGAGTTTGTGGGTCATGAGAGCTGATTTCCATGTACATTTGCAGTAATGTGCTTTGCACAGTATTATACTAGTATAGGTCTTAGTTACCCCAGAACAGTGCAGATCGAGCACATGATTCTGATATGCATGACTCTCAGTTACCATGGTATACGCAAAGCAAGGATACTTGTCTATACAGTTTAAGTTTAGACTGGTGTGAAGATAAATTACTTCAGACATATTAAGAGTAGAGGTTTTCTATTGCCTATTAAGCCTTTTCTGATAATGTTGGAAAATAATTTAATTCTAATAATTAGATCCTTTTTTGTGTAAGAAATATACTCTAAAAGACTTTGAAATCAAGGTTAAGATATTTCATAGCTGTCCAATTATTTATTTATTTATTTGTTTGTTCGTTCATTCAACATATATTGAGATCCTGCCAGCCTGTGACAGACAAGCACTGTTCTGAGAGCTAGGGATATATGAGTGAATAACACAAAGACATTCAAACATTCAGACACTTGATCCTACCTAACTGATACTGCATAATAAGCCCGCTGTAATTTTAGTAATGATAGGAAATGCTGAGGATTGTTTTGACTGGTATAGAGCATTGGGTCTCAAAGTGATCTCTGGACCACTGGGGGCTTCCTGAAACCCTTTGAATGGATCTAACAGGTCAAATCCATTTCCAGGATCATATTAAGATGTTATTTGCCCTTCCCACTGTGTTAACTTTTGCATTGATCTGCAATAACAACAGTGGTTAAATCTGTGGGCACCTCAGTACAAAGTAAGGCAGCATACTAAACTGTGCGAATATTATTGTGTTCTTCACAACCTCACACTTACAGCAAGAAACATGCATGCTGGTTCATTAAAGACTGTCCTGGATGAAGCTGTACAGATGATTAATTATTATTAATTTTTGCTCATACATACATACCTTTTTAGTATCCTGTATGATGAGACAGGAAGTGTACATAGAGCCCTTCTGTTGCATGCCAATGTGGTTGTCTTGAGGAAAAGCACTTGTGCCACTGTTTGGTTGCCAATTGAACTAGTCAGTTTTTTTCATGGAACACCATGATTTACTTTGTAAGAAGACAAATTGTCATTGTTCAGACATGGGTATTTGTTATTTTCTTGAAACTGAATGAAGGAAAACAATTGAGAGTATTTGTTGCCAGTGATAAAATTTGAACTCTTAAGTGAAAATTAGAATTTTGGAAAACATACATCTCCCATGAACTTGATAGTCTTATTATTCTCAAATAATTTTCTGATGAGATTGGTGGCCATTTTGACATCTGATTTTTTTAAAAATTTCATATAATGAAAGGTGTCAACATTTGGAAATCTGCTTAACTCAGTGAACAGATGTTTTCCAGATGATCAGTACATGATGTTGCAAAGCCATGCATGTGTGAAAGACCCATTCAAAATACAAGGTTAGAATAAAGAATTTCAATGTAACAAAGTATAAAATGTTTATTGGTATGATTTCATATTTCACATTTAATATTACAATAAACTGACCGGACATGGTGGCTCATACCAATGATCTCAACACTTTGGGAGGCTGAGGCAAGAGTATTGCTTGAGGCCAGGAGTTTGACACCAGCCTGGGCAACATAGTGAGACCCAGTCTTCATAAAAATAAAAAATAAAGAAGGATTAACCAGGCATGGTGGCACATAACCTGTAGTCCTTGCTCCTTGGGAGGCTGAGGAAGGAAGGTCACTTGAGCCTGGGAAATAGTTTACAGTGAGCTATGATCACACTACTGCACTCCAGCCTTGGAAGCAAGATCGAGACATTGTCTTAATTAAAAAAAAAAATCAGAATAAACAAAACTTGTTGAATTTGGTGTAGTATTGAAGGAGACTATCTACAAATTTGAAAAGGCTATTAAAATACTCCTTTTTTAAAACTACGTATCTTTGTGAGGCTGATTTTCTTTAAATACTTTAACCAAAACAACACATGGTAAAATATTGATTGTAGAAGCAAATTAGGTATTATCTTCTGTTAAGACATTAAAGATATTTACAAAAATATAAAATAGTGCCAGTGTTCTCCCTGTTTTCTTTTTGTTGTTGTTGTTATTCTGGAAGATATAGTTAATTTTCACAAGAATAAGGTTTTTATGTTATGTTTATTCTTGGCATTTTTAAGGGAATTAATATTTTTTAAATGTCTCAGTTCTTATTTCTAATATAGTAAATATCAATAATAGAGTCTGCATAAGTACAAGCTCATTGGGGTTCTTAGTAGGTCATACATTTTTTTCCTAGTAGGAAAGTTTATTAGAGAAGTTAAATAGAAAGAAAAACCTTATAGTTTTTGTTTTTTTTTTTGAGTTGGAGCCTCATTCTGTCGCCCAGGCTGGAGTATAGTGGCACGCTCATGGCCACCGCAGCCTCAACCTGCTGGGTTCAGGTGAGTCTTCAGCCTCAGCTTTTTAAGTAGCTGGAACTACAGGCGTGTGCCACCATGCCTGGCTAATTTTTTGATTTATTGTAGAGATGAGGTCTCACCAAGTTGCCCAGGCTGGTCTCGAACCCGTGGGCTCAGACAGTCCTCTCACCCCAGCCTCTCAAAGTACTTGGAATTATAGGCGTGAGCCACCGTGCCCAGCCAAATCTTATAGTTAATAGGAAATTATAGAGGTTCTTTTAAGTTTGCTCAAGCTACCAGTATGTTTCTCTCAACTGTTCTTAAGTATTCTTTTGATTCTGTCTTGAGCTGGAGGAAGATCACTGCCCAGACTTTTTTCTGTATACCAAATTCCCTTTATTTAGGGTTAAGTCAGGACCTACCTTACCCTAGATGTTATCTTTGAGTATTTAATTGATAGCTTGTACTGATTAGTGCAGACCCACCTCTATTGTACTGACTTACAGTGTTTGATTGATTATAATAAAACTGAGTAAGCATTAATTTGCAGGTAGAAAAGCAATGCTTTTAGTGAGGAAGCAGTTTTTGTTTGTAGAAAATAGTGTATTGGATTTATAGAGTAATAATTTTATGTCATTTGATACATCAGCATTTATTTTGTCTTCTCTGTTGTATTGAATATGCCAAGTGATGTCTGTTTTTTAATCAGACTTCTTAAATTTTGTTTTACAGTTGTTTTTAAAGGTATGAATGGATTTTTATTAGATTTTGTGCAATATTAAAGCCTTCAAGAGACCCCCTTGCCTCTGCACTGCCCCACATACAGTTTAACTGAATTCTTGCAAAAATAAGAAATTTTTCAAAAAGACATACTTCTGTAAATTTTTTTTGAATCAGAGTTTCACTCTGTTGCCCAGACTGGAGTCCAGTGGCATGCTCATGGTCACTGCAGCCTTGACCTGCTGGGCTCAGGCCATCCTTCCGCCTCAGTCTTCCAAGTAACTGGAACTACAGGCATGTGCCATCACACCTTGCGGGTGGCCAGCCCCTGCAAGTTTTGGGGAGATTTAGGAGGTCCCTTGGAAGGTGTGGCAGCTTCGGCAATTATTCTGGAGAAATAAAGAAAAAAAGAAAAGAGGGGAGAAAGAAAGAGACTGGACTCTGTCTAGCACAGAAGCCGATTCTGTAGCAGGGATAGATACTAAAAGAAAGAAAGATGGAGGGATAGATATAAAGAGGAAGAAAGAGAAAGAAAGAAAGAAAGTGGACAACTGTTCAGTAAAATGAGCAGAAGCCGTTTATTGAAAGTTACAGCAGGTATTTATCCCCAAATTTTACACAGACAGTCTCACAAGTCTTTGATGTAAACACAAAGCCAGGTGCAGGAGGGGTGTCCCCCACTCATCAGATGTTTTATCAGATATGAGGAAGGACAAACCCCAAGATTGTCTTATTGTTCCCTTTGCTAGTTAATACTCTTCGAAAGCAGTGCAACAATCCAATACTACTTACACAATACTACGGAAGCTCTTAATTATAGCTTAAACCAAT